CCAGTCGTCCTGTCCCTGCAGCTGAAAAACACACCCACAGCATGATGCTGCCACCAACATGCTTCACTGTTGGGACTGTACTGGGCAGGTGGTGAGCAGTGCCTGGTTTTCTCCACACATGCCACTTAGAATTAAGGCCAAAAAGTTCTCTTGGTCTCTTCAGACCAGAGAATCTTATTTCTCACCATCTTGGAGTCCTTCGGGTGTTTTGTTTGTTTGTTTTGTTTTTTTTTAGCAAACTCCATGAGGGCATTCATGTGTCTTGCACTGAGGAGAGGCAAAGAATGAACAATTTAAGTGGGTCTGAATACTTTCCATACCCACTGTACACTACCAGTCAAAAGTTTGGACACACCTTCTGATTTAATGGCGTTTCTTTATTTTCATGAACATTTACATTGTAGATTCTTCTGAAGGCATCAAAACTATGAACACGTATGGAATTATGTAATAAACAAAAAAGTGTGAAATAACTCAAAACATGTTTTATATTATAGATTCTTCAAAATAGCCACCTGTTCCTTTGATTACTACTTTGCGCACTCTTGGCATTCTCTCAATGAGCTTCATGAGGTCGTCACCTGAAATGTTTTTGCAACAGTCTTGAAGGAGTTCCCAGAGGTGCTGAGCACTTGTTGGTCTTTTTGTCTTCGCTCTGTGGTCCATCTCATCCCAAACAATCTCGACTGGGTTTCGGTCAGACGACTGTGCACTCCATCACTCTCCTTCTTGGTCAAATAGGCCTCTCACAGCCTGGAGGCGGGTTTGGGGTCATTGTCCTGTTGAAAAATAAATGATGGTCCAACTAAATGCAAACTGGATAGGATGGCATGTTGGTTTAGTGTGCCTTCAATTTTGAATAAATCCCCAACAGTGTCACCAGGAGAGCACCCCCACACCATCACACCACCTCCTCCATGATTCACAGTGGGAACTATACATGTAGAGACCATCCGTTCACCTTTTCTGCTTTGCACAAAGACGCGGCAGGTGGAAACAAAGATCTCTGATTTGGACTCATCAGACCAAAGCACAGATTTCCGCTGGTTTAATGTCCAATCCTTATGTTTCTTGGCCCAAACAAATCTCTTCTGATTGTTGCCTTTCCTTAGTTGTGGTTTTTAGCAGCTGTTTGACCATAAAGGCCTGATTCACGCAGTCTCCTCTGAACAGCTGATGTGGAGATGTGTCTGCTACTGGAACTCTGTGTGGCATTTATCTGGGCTCTGATCAGAGGTGCTGTTCACTTGCGATTTCTGAGGCTGGTGACTCGGATGAATTTATCCTCAGAAGCAGAGGTGACTCTCGGTCTTGCTTTCCTGGGGTGGTCCTCGTGTGAGCCAGTTTCCTCGTAGTGCTTGATGTTTTAGCAATATTCTGACTGACTGACCTTTAGTTCTTAAAGTAATGATGAACTGTCATTTCTCTTTACTTAGCTCATTGGTTCTTCCCCTAATATGAATTCTAACAGTTGTCAAATAGGGCTGTCAGCTGGGTACCAACCTTCTGCACAACACAACTGATGGTCCCAACAATAATTAAGAAGACAAGAAATTCCACAAATGAAAAATGACAAGTCACACCTGTGAAGTACAAACAGGTGAGCATCATGAAGCTCATTGAGAGAAGACCAAGGGTTTGTAACGCTGTTAACAAAGCAAAGGGTGGCTACTTTGAGGAATCTAAAATATAAGACATTATTTTTAGAGTTATTTATCATTTATTTCTTTGCTACATAATTCCATATATCTTGCTTCATATATTTGATGTCTTCAGTAAGTATCTACAATAATGAAAGTAGTAAAAATAAAGAAAAAACATTAAACGAGATTATGTGTACAAACTTTTGGTAGTTTTTTGGTGTATACTGTATATTATGTTTTGTATAAAGAGCAACACCCTGCAAGGTAACTGCAGCAGTTAAATATAATGAAGTGGAATAAATAGTAAAATATTACTCACTGAAAAATAAGTATTAAGTATACTAGCATACGGTGAAAGTGAAGTATAGTATAGTGTACTAGAGACAGTAATTTGATACTTTCCACTCTCCATGAATATGTGCTTCCACTTCAGTGTGGACACAAGGGGCATGCTCAGTCTTTATGTGATAGTCATATTGCCTTTGACCTTTGTTAAGTTTTTGTTATTAATTTAAAACCCCCTCAGTAACATATTTAAGATGAACATGATTCTCAAATCATCACAATCAACAGCACAGTTTGATCACTGATGTGAGCCGGTGACATGAACACATTTAATCAGGTAACTTATCCAAACAAAGGAGTCTGATGTCAGACACAACTGTTAACTCGCTACTCTGACTCACATCTGGATCCAGAAACCACCATACGTATATGTGCATCATATGACCTAGAGGGGATAACATTAAATGAGAACATTTAGTAATAACTCCAGAAAGCCTCAGAGGCTAATTGTACACAGTTCAGCAGAGATTAAAGGAATTGTCTGACTGTCAAAACAATTCATGTGTTCATCAGTGAACATTCCTCTTTTAAATTAAAAATGGTTGATTTTGCTAATATATTGTGTTCTGTTTCTTCTTCAATAATCACACAGATGGGCCTGAGCTCAATGAGCCACCAAATCCAGATGTGATCACAATCACGGAAGGAGACACTCTACACCTGAACTGCTCCTCTGTGGGAAACCCCAGCCCCTCATACACCTGGACACTCCCACTAAATAGCGCTCCTTCCTACAGTGGCAGCGTTCTCACTATTAAATCTGTTGGGTTTGAGCATGAAGGACAGCATATCTGCACTGCGAGCAACACTGTAGGGACTGTCACCAAGGAGTTTAACATTGATGTACAAGGTGAGTGTTGTCAGATACTTCCTGGAAAATGAGTCACTGAAGATCAATCACAATATTTTCCTCTAGAAATGATACAGCAGTTGAGAATAATCCAATCTTTAATCCAAGAATTAAATTCATTGTGATTGTTTTGGTGTTTTTAATTTGCCTCGTGTATATTATTCTTCTTTTCTTTTTTACAGTCAGCTCCATTCCATACATAATACGTGGAACCTTACTGGGAGTTCTGGTCCTTGTCGGTCTGTCACTGGGATGCTACTGTAAACGCAAGCAAAGGGGAAACTACAAACTCAGTAAAATTATTGTTATTGACAGCTGAAGAAATGACCTTTGTCTGTCTATCCTCTGTGAGCAAACTTCCTGTTTAGCACATATGCAAGGCAAGCTTTCACATTTCTGATCATTTCTGATCAACAGTTGATTTCTTTCTTTAAATGTTACAGATATTTATACAGCTGTTGATGAGCGTAGTCCCTCACTCTCTGTTTAGCCGAACTAAATTCATGGTTCTCTTCCAATTTTCTTAAACTCAATAGTAACACATCAGAGCTTCTGCTTGTAGGCACTAAACAACACTATCCAGAACTAATAGCTTTTCAATTACAATCAATAACTGGCCAGTCTCTGTTTCTCCATGTGTGAAAAGTTTGGGTGTCGTCCTCGATAGTACTCTTGTAACTCACACATCAATAACATTACTCGGTCTGCATATTTCCATTTGTGTAACATTAATCGTCTCCGTCCTTTTCCCACATGTCACTGCTGTTCTTGTTCATAGCCTGGTCACTTCCCGGATCAATTACTGCAACTCTCTTCTTTTTGGTCTTAGTCAAAAATCTCTCCATAAGCTTCAACGTGTCCCGAACTCTGCTGCTCGTATTATCACCGGGACCCCTTCTATGCACCACATCACCCCTGCTCTGCAGCAGCTTCATTGGCTTCCGCTCAAATACCGCATTAATTTCACGATACTTTTGTATACATTTAAGGCTATTCATCATCTCTCCCCTTCATACCTCTCTGATCTGGTTCAGATCACCATTCCTTCTCGGCTCCTCTCTCTGTCCCTTCCCCTCGGTTAGCCACCATGGGGCACAGGGCTTTCTCTGCTCCTTGACTTTGGAATTCCCTTCCTCCTGATATGATAAACATCACTTCCTTCTCGCTTTTTAAGTCTAGACTCAAAACTCACAATAGCCTATTCCACATAAGCTTTTCCATTCTGCTTTTTAAATTTACTCCACATTTTATCTTTATAACTTTGTAAACTGTTATGCTTGTTGTTGTTATTGCTTGTCTCTATTCTGCTGTGTACAGTGTCCCTGAGTGTTTTGAAAGGCGCTTTTAAAATAAAATGTATTTTTATTATTATTATTAGTCTCAAAGTAGGGCCATGGGGTCTGCAAAATAATTTACTATCAGTTAAATAAATTTCTTTGTTATATCACAAAAACATCTGGGTGTCATTTTGTCTACAAAACAACCACATGGTGTCCTCTTCACTCCCTCGTGATATCAGTGGGACAAAGGTCACTGTCAAAGATCACTGAGTGTGTGTAGGTGACCAGTATGTTTGGATATTTACTGGATATTTATTGCAATGTTATTATTCTTTGCATACTTCGGGCAACATCTTAACTGACTTATGTTCCTTGATCAAAACTCTTACATGATGTTAGCGATGTCTCTTTGTTGCATTTACAGTAGTTTGTTGTTGTTGTTCAGCTTAAGTACAGATTTCAGAGCTGTGGTTTAATTATTATTTCATGTTAGATCCTTGTTTTCTTATGTTTAAGCAACAGCTGCCACTGTGTAATTATCTAACAACCTGCATTCATAATGACATTTATTTATTCGTTACAGAAGCACACACACACACACACAGACTAACGAGCTATCATATCAATACTTTGTAACTGATGCCCCCTGGGCAATGTTTGTTTCTTCTTTTAAGAAACAAACATTATTGTCCTTCAAATTTGCTGCAACAGGGTCTTCAGATCAGCGGCGCCTCCAGGGTTTTTTCATTGGTGTGGCCATATTTCCATTTTTATTATGCTGTTGTCAAATATAGGTGACTTGAAAAATAGAGTTGATATCACTGATGAACGCATCATTCAATCAGAGCTCCCTGACCTGCTGTCCATCTACACCAAGCGGTGCAAGTCCAAAGCTAGGAAGATTATGATGGACCTCTCCCATCCCAACAATGGACTCTTCTCACTGTTGAGGTCTGGGAAGCGCTTCCGCTCCCTTAAGGCCAAAACAGAGAGAATGAGGAGGAGCTTCTTCCCCCAGGCTATTCGGGCGCCTGAACCAGGTGTAGGACTGGACTCTCCCACACACGTCACCACACGCACCACCACACATTTCCTATAATCCTATAATTCCTATAATTTATAATCCTTATCTTTATAATCTCTTCTGCTATTTGCACATTCTTTACTGTAAATTCCTAAGTTAATTTGTAAATTTTTGTAGTAAATTGTAAATATTGTAAAACTTTTCTTCTGTCATTTAATGGTCGGGCATTGTACAGCTACAAGCATTTCACCCCCATGTCATACTGTGTATGGTTGTGTGTGTGTGACAAATAAAATTTGAATTTGAAATTTGAATTTGAAAACAGATACAAACATACAGACTTTTAACTTCACACAAAGTGCTGTCACTGTTATGCTTGCAGTTTATTCACCCACAGTTTTTATTTAATTTTTTACTTTTTTTTTAGTTCAGCGAGAGAAGTGAATAATGTTTGAGTCTTGAACGAGTACGTTTAAGGATCCGTGTTTGTATTTGTTAAAGTCTTTGTTTGTCCCATTTCATCCTCAGCCTATCCAAGCGCACTTATCTGAACAAATCACTCAAATCCCTCCCTGTCATAGCCTCTGTCTGTCTGACTTCTGCAAGTGAATTTGCTGTAAAGCAAAGCACATCTGCAAGGGAAGATTCATTGTTTATACTCATCATTAGTTTCATCTCTGATTTAATGTTACATTTGTGCTCTGCCAGCTGTTGATGAGCAGTGGATTTCAAAGTGGGGTTCAAGATCCTAAAACCCAGTCTGCAAAATAATTTACTAACATTAATTTACTAAAAATGTCACTAATGTCACTGACAAATTAGTCTTTATTCAATGTTTTTAAACAAATAATTGCATCTAAGAGCACAAATGGTGTCAAGATTATAATAGATAAATATTCTCACCTGTGAGGGGGTCGCTGGGCCCAAAGGTTTGACTCTCTAGTGAGCTCCTCCTGAGGACCTTTAATAATGTAATACTTGTGTTTTACCACTAGAAGACGCTAGATAATAATCTGAGATACTGGAGGCATGTATGCACATTACATCTCAATTACCAAATTTCCAACACACTCCTAGCAAAAGTATACACATGTATGGCTATCATTAACACTAATTTGCCAACTGTCTGGCACACTTTCACATGTGAAAACTTTTTTAGATAATTAGTTCACTTTGCAATCAGCCTAAGCACTATAATACAGGTAAGCTGTGTGTGCGGAGTACAATGGAGGGAGCAGAAAGAGTGAGAAGTAGAGGAGGCCGAGGAAGAGGACGTGGAGGTGAAGAAGTAGGATGAAGAGGACGACAAGGACAAGGAGGAGCAAGAGGAAGACGAGGAGGGGGGAGAGGAAGATGAGGAGGGGGGAGAGGAAGGGTAGGAAGAGTAAGAAATAGAATTGCTGATGACATCAGAGCTACAATAGTGGACCATGTAATCAACCGTGGAATGACCCTGAGGGTAGCTGGCCAACGGGTCCAGCCTAACTCGAGCCGCTACACTGTAGCAAGTACCATAAGGACATCTTGAAATGAGAATCGGTTAGTACAGTCACTTCGCACAAAGATTTGTAGCACTGCCATATGCCAATGAGAAACACACCAATACCATTGATGTAAAAATACTGAAATTGTTACTTTACAGAATTGCTAGATGACCAGATGCTGGGGGCAGAGGAAGCATGTTCACTGCAGACCAAGTAACCCATATAGTCATTATGGCGATTGCAAATAATCCTATACTTGGAAATAAACACTTGTGTTTGTTTTGATGTGTTTGAATAAACACCAGTACTTGAAGTTTGGATCCCTCTATGCTTATGGATCTATGACAGAAGTATGAGCTCAAACTGACATAGCCTACCTTGTGCACAGAGAAAGCAAAAGCCAGATGTGTTTTGTATTCATACCATCAGTGTGCAGTTGGCGCATTGTGTGCTTAGTAGATGATGGCTTGTGTGTACTGTTTGATACGGAAACACCATTTTTACGAAGGTGTGAAGAGTTAATCTAGCTGTGTTTGCTTTTGCAAGAGAACTACAATGTTTTGATTATTGGGTGACAGGTTTTCTTATTTGTGTGAAGAGTTTTGCAAAATTAGCCAATAGTTACAAAAAATGTGCTTAAGCAATCAGAAAAAACTGTAATATGAAAAAGCTGATGATCTGCGTGAATCTGAACTTTTCAGTCAAGATCACAGTCAGAGCTACTATGGTAGTGACATAATTCTCCAGGCCTATTTCCTGTTATTTAAAGGTTGAGCTATTCCCATGTCAGACAATCATAACATGTAATGTAATAACAATGACCTTTCTTTTCTCACATAACACCACACACACACACATCAAACTTGGATTATTTATGTGAATATTACCTGATTAAGACATTTTCACAAAGTTATGTAGTTTATACGTATCTCACTTTGACCCTGAATATAAATAACTGTGAATAGAGGGTTATTAGTGGGGACGCTATTGTTAATTGCCCCTTGGAGATAAATAAAGTCTCTCTGACTCTGATTCAGTGAGAAAAGATGGACATGAGTTATTGCTGAAACAAACTTGAACTGAAACCATACAGCATCAGTATATTTTAATACTAGATTAGCCTAATGTGTTTGGACAGGCTGTAACCAGCACAAGCCTCACACACTTCTCACCTGACCAGCTGTCGTAAGAGGACAGTGTGCTACAGGCGAGGAGAGGGGAAAAGAAACAAAACAGAAAAATGGGAAACACTTCATATAATTGAATTCAGCAGATTAACTATAAGAATAAAAACATATAAAATAAATAGTATGAGTGTACACATAAAAACAAATAAGCTAATGAGGCCGAAGAAAGGCGTAAAAGCATGAAAACCCTGACAGCAGAGTGTAATTTGATGACAGGGCCTACCAGTTAGCTAAACTTTAGAATAAAGCAAACTAGAATCGATCCTGTCAAGCTGTTATTTCTGTTTTTTTTGTTTGTAGAAGCTTTCAGTGTCTGTAAGAGGTATCAGTCATCACTCAGAGAG